GCTGTGTGGCCTTGGTATCCTGCACAGGAAAGTCAGAGAAACGCTTGGACTGCCATATGGAGAAGAGAATTTACCACAACGCTAGTGAAATGCGTGTACAGCACACGCCGGTTCTCGTTATTCCTTCGATGGACTTGCAAGAAGTGTGCTCTGAAGTACTGGATAACGGTCTCGTATTCATTCGACCGTTCTCCAAAGGACGTGATGCTGCGACATAAATAGATAAAGGGATGAAACACTTTGGTTCCGGTGAAATACGCACTATTTGCGAACTTTGAGACCCCGTTCCAGCTTCGCGCGGAGAAGATCTGTCTTATCTGGGATCGTTAAGCAAAGAACACATGCATTGGTAAGAAGCGACATACTCAAGAATAGAACCAGATGTACACTTTTCAATAGTGCATTCGAACAAATTTGAGTGAAAAGTTGCAGGGAATCATCGATTCTGTTGGTTCTTGGGTCTTCTTCAAGATACTGGAGTGCAAAGAAAGTTAGAAGTGACCGCAAAGCTTCAAAAGAAAAGCTTACTTGGTCAAAGGCGCTCACTGGAGCTACGAATATAATGGCGTTGGCATCGTCGAAATAAGGAACCCATGTGTGGCGTTGACCTCGAGCTCCTCCGACGTCGAAAAGATGCCAGGTAACCATTTTGCCGTGAATATTCACGTCGAAAGTGTGCTCAGCGACGCCCATTGTTTGAATGCGAGCATGAAGAATGTCGTCTGACGTGAAAATAAGTAAATATATGCGTATAAATTGGACTGAAAAACTAAGTACATACCCGTCGTTGGCAAATAATCATGGGCAGCGACCCGAGAAATGTTCTGGAGGAAGCTGCGCATCAAATAGTTAGAGATCGCGTTAGCAAGGATAGTCATTTTGACCTACAATTCTGACCATTCGTCCAGCTTCAAGCGCCGTTTTGAAATCATGCCTTTAACGGTTGAGTGGTTCCAGAGGTCATGAATCTCGTCCTCCGAGGTCTGAAGGTGACGTGCGACCTCAAGGACCAAGGGGTCTGTTGTAAGGATATCGGACGAGTAGCTTTCACGCGGCAGGGATTGTTTTCCATTAGCAGCTTGCTTTCCCTTCAGTTTGTCGATGGTCCTTGATTGCCACCCACTGCGTACATAGACGCCGCCCTTGCCGGAGCCAGACACTGTGATGCCACCGCTCAGTCGGTCAGCGAGCTGCGCATCCATAGCAACTAGAGCGGCAAGCCGCCGACGGAGATGAGCAATCTGGGCTGGGCCATCTTTGGCAACAGCAGGGTGGCTGCCAGAACTCGTCGCGACTGATTGAGCCACTGAACCAGGTGAGCTCTGGATGACGCTGCCATTCAGCAGTGAGGTTGAGGGAGAAGGTTGGTCAGCTATCCCATTCGCTTTAGCTTTGCGTGCGGCGACCGACTGAGTATCATCCACGGGCGGTTGATCCAAATCATCAAGCGAATCATCCCATGCTTCAAGAACGGTGAGAATTTGCTTCAAAGATCTAACAACGTTGAAGTAGATCACAGTTCTCCATGATGACCGCTCTTGCTCAATTGAATGAGGGCGATACATCAGCTGGAACTGCTTCTGCAGCGTCGACTTGCCACTCTCTGCTTGACCTAAGAGTAACAGCTGCGAGAGAATGTGAATATATGCGCATATATTTGGGCGAAACGACGCACCTTGACATCTCCTTTCCGTTTCTTCATGCGCTCTCGCTCCTCTCGAAGATCTTCATCAATTTGTTCTGAAACCCGCTTAGCCTCGGACTCAGCATGTTGCCGGGCGATGCGCTCAGCGTCCGTCTCTTCTGGAGGTGGCTTCAGGGCAGCGGAGATGGGGTCGTCCTGGCTGTATATAGACGGGGTGCGCATAGGGTGCATGGGAAGGGGATAGAGGTGATGGGAGTAGTGAAGGAAGGGGGCAGGAGGTGAGGGCTGGAGATGCTGTCAAGTAGTCCATAAGGCGCAATATTATTTACACGAATTTCCATATCGGCGCGTGACATTTGCCTTGTCCTTCCCCGTCACACTTCCGATATCAAATGGTAATTTCTTCGTTTTGCCTCCAGGAAAGCCTTCGGCTGATATTTTACTAGTCTGTAACACTTCATACCTCTCATGGAGACCTCAAAGTGCGTTGCAATTGATAATTTACAGAAAGATCGCTCAGTTAGTGAGTTAGATCGAGGTGTTCTGCGAGGCAGTCCCGAAGGCTGCTGAAGTAGGTGTTTCCCGTGCCACCGTTCGACAAGCGTTGACAAATCCAGAACTTTCTCGCACTGTGCGCTTCAGGCTACTATAATGACTGCATATTCCACCGGAACATGAAAGGATTCATCATTCAAACCGGTGACCCGACTGGCACTGGGAAAGGCGGCCAGAGCATCTGGGGGTCTCCCTTCTCTGATGAAATCAGGTCGACTCTCAAAGTAAGATTGGAGTCCTTTTTTTTTTGTCTACTTCTGTTTATTCTTATTTTCATTCTTTTCTATTCTTTAACAGTTTAATACCCGCGGCGTAGTTGCTATGGCTAACTCGGGCAAGGATTCCGAGTCTAATAAATCCCAGTTCTTTGTCACATACTCAAAGCAACCTCATCTTGACGGCAAGCATACAATTTTTGGCAAAGTCATTGATGGAGCAGATTCAACACTGGACATAATGGAACGCGTACCAGTCAACACAAAGAGCAGGCCGCTCAACGAGATTAAAATAACGGGTGTATGTCTGGATGTTCATTTCCTGAAAATTGAGCTCATTTATCTCCAGGTTACCGTTCACGCGAATCCAATAGCTGACGCGGTTCTTGCTGGTCGATGAAGAAGGCATATGGCATACCGTCTTCTATTACCAGAAAATTCCTCACGCCTTTGCTTCGATAGCGGAAGAAGTCAAACCTGATTTATATTAGGTAGATTCCAAATACATGGCACCTCGACTTCTCATTGCTCAAACCAAAACTGAAATATTGAATATATTGTCAGATATGTGTTCATCTCTCAAAAATATTGGATCATTGGAAACCCTCTTCCAATCTGTCCGTCCGTCGGTCTTGCTGACTTGAAAGTTTGTTGTCTTTTCACTGCACTCCTGTGTCACCTCCCAGAGTGTCTATCACCACCCTGATCGTTCCCCCTAAACTGCAGTTCGGCGAATTTTTAACTCCAATCTCTTCTATCTGTAAAATATTCGGAACGCAAAAGTCAGCGCCACTGTGAACTCCATCTATCGCATCAAGCGACTCGATCAACCACGTTCAACTTGTTGACTGGAGTTATTGATCTGCTGATGCCCCTATCTTCGACGAAAGCTTGGACCCGCCCAAGCCTTCATGTACATTTTGGAGATCCTTTGCGGTCAAAGCATACCAGTTGTTCTTCTTGGCCTCTTCGCTCCAATTACACCAGGGTATCGGAGCTCTCACGGCTTTCTTATACGACGAGCAGTAGAGCAGCATCAAACCAGCAACACGATTCATCAAATCAGGTACACAACTCGCAGATGTGGCCTTACTGTACCTGAGCGAGTAAAGGGTGTACCTATATGTATAAAAACACGGCCGCCGCTCAAGTTTCTGATCGACGAATTAACGCGTCACTTTGTGGGCTTTTGTGGGTAGCTACTGAGAAAGACAGCACGAAAGAGACTTGCTCCGAATCAACTTTTCAAATGAAATAAAGATTGTATTGGATAGGACAATTTATTTCCGTTTTTCAGGCCGATTGAGGGGAATCATCTTCGGATGAAACCGACTAATTCTTTCTGCAATTCCTTTTGCCTTCTCGCTTTTTCCAGATCATCAATGCTCCGAAGGTCATATACAACATCTCGGGTCTTTCCAAAATACACCTGCAGTGGGATGTCACTGTCATTTATGTGTATAAAAACCATAAGTAGGCTTACTTCTTGGAGCAAATTACGCATTTTAATCTCCATCTCCTCTATCATCCTTCCAATATTCGAGATGTGGGAAGAAGAATCTTGCAGAGGCCAATCTTGTTCCGACTGTTGGAAGTCTCAGTATCGAATAATATTTACTAAATGGATGAACCTCAGACCTGACGCGTCATACTCCCACTCAAGCTAACCTCGCCGTCCCTCTTCAGACCATCAGGGCCTTTCTTTTCCGAAGTAGAGTTAGGTTTGTCGTTATCTGAGCTCTTCCGTGTAAGAAGCTGGAGCATGATTGTTGATGTGAGTTTGTAGTGGGCTTGACGTCCTCTTTCAACTGTTTCAAAAACATGGATCGAGTCCCAGGAACCGGAGGGTTCCAAAGGCGTTGCAGGAGTCATGGCTATAAATGTACACGCACGATTAGATATTCTATTGAAAGGATTCAGACACATACTCTTCTTGATCACAACAACGCCAGCAAAGTTGCTACCTCCACTTGGATCTTCTGGATCCCAAAGGTATGCGGACGAGACGCCACCTTCGTAGTACATCTCTCGATAAGTGTCGAACGCTTCATTCGCCTGAATCTCGATTTTTCGCATCTTTGACGATGGAACGGCACCATCGTCTAGAGGCGGGTCATATTCGTTCGACCAAGGTGATCTACGTGAACAGTTTCAACTCAAACATATGTTCCAATCATCCACTTAAACTTACCGATAACTCTCGCCATCTCTATTGTAGTCGCATGCAAGGTATTCCCTTCCTGTTGCACGATCAACCATTACCTGCAATGGCTGGTCGACACTTTGCAGTAATTCGTCGGCTTCATCTGGGCAGATGTTCACTAGCGCTTGAACATTCTCTTCCGTTCTCGTTGGAGGCAAACGTCGCATAAGGTCAAGCATAGAGTCAATAACTTCCGCCATGGTGAGAGATTTCTGTAACAATCTCTGGTCGAAGGAAACCAGGGATGTGCCACGAAAGGTTGTTAGTAGTTCGAGGAAGTGATGTGGTACAAACGTGACGCCTGTGTCACTTTGGGATCCTCAGTCTCAAACCACCAATCTTTCTCCGTAATGCCGAAATTCATACAACAAACATACAAGGATGCCGCCTACCTGACTTGAACAAGTGACCTTCGCATTGTCATAAATACAAGTGCGACGCGATAACCACTACGCTAAGGCGGCGTTGGGGTGAGCCTGCCAAGTTATGCTACTTAAAGGGCCTATGCATAATGCACAGCGAGCAAGCTCGGATAGATCACTAAGCATATTCACGGGCCGTGCTCTATCTGAACCACCATGTCGCAAAGCAAACGCAAAGCATCTGGAGAAGATCACCAGAGGACCAAGAAAAAATATCGTTCGGTACTGACCATTTTATCTGATGCCTTCTCTCCCCTTATTTTACCTCCTTAGGATGGAACGCCCGTCTGGGCGAAGCGACATGTTGAAGGACCAGGAGTCTGGGTTAGCTGTGCGCACTAACCAATCCATGCAAGATCTTGACCTGACCTCTCTGAAGGTGTAAAGGGCAGAGAAAAACAGGCTGTCGGAGAGATTCTTGATCTTTTCGAAACAGTTTGTTTATCTTAAATATGTTAAGCCAGGCAACTAATTTCTACGTTTCAGATTGCGGACATGGCTTGGCCGAAGAGCGATGAATTCCAGAGTATTGTAGAAGACTCAGACCAAGAAAAGCCTGATCTTAGTATTGAAGAACAAATAATGAAGCAAGTCGCCACCCTGACGCAGCCACGAGGGCAGAAGCAACAGCAGCGTTTCGGTATGTTAAAGTTGACTATATGGTTATAGAATGTCTCACATCGTACAACATGCAGCTAGCTGTCAGACCAATACACCTTGTGGCAAGTTTCCTTTAACCACATTTAAAACATCTTGCTCATACACCCCAGTGCTCTTCATATCCTGCAAACCCCCTGTCGATCCTGTCGAACTTATACTTGAATGTGTCAAAAATATTAAAGAAACTGGCGTGACTCGTATGAGGTTCGAATAGAACCGTACTCTACGACACCAGCTAAACACGAATCTAGGAATATCCACCGAGTTATCCCAGTTTCCAGCTCAAGCGTCGCAAATCTTCCAGAAATTGAGGCTATGTGCAAGCAAGTATTTTCAAATTTTTTTTTGAAGCACCCCGACAAGAAGTTCACTGTAAGTTCTGACCCATTGACAGGAAAACGACATCATTAACATTTTTCTTAGTACAAGATTGAACTTCGTGTTCGGAATCACACTACCATCCCTCGACCGACCATGATTCAAACGATCGCCAGCTGCGTACCTGACGGCCATACTGTTAATCTGATAGATCCAAAAGTCTTCATTCTGGTCGAGGTTTTCAAGGTAAGGCTAGCAAAATGACTCGACTCCTCCGGTCTAACGACACGCCCTCGACTTCTTCAGAGCATCTGTGGGGTCTCGGTTGTCGAAGACTACTATCGATGGCATAAGTTCAACGTCATGGAGATCGCCAATGAAAACAAGAAAACCGAAGCCAGTTCAGACAGTAGACTCGTTGAAACATCATCGAATACAACACCTGAAGTGCCGACAACTATTCAAATCTTCAAATAACCTTAGGAATGGGGACTGTTCTACAAGATATATTACATGCATATGTACAACAATAAATCAAGTTACGTGTATTCGTTAGTCCTAGATTCTCCAAAAGTTGAGAAAGAGACCAAAATACTCCAATAATGTTTTCAAGCGTAGTAGAAGCTGCTTGGGTGAGGTAGATGATTTCGAGCTGGTTCCAAAGACTCGAAGTTGGTTGACCAAAGCTTACAGTCCCTCTCATCAGACTCTGAAAGACATGTGTTGGGTAACGGGCTGTCTTGCATGGCTGAGTAGGATGATGGCCACACAAGCCGCATGCCCTGGCCTTGATTCCAAATCGACGCTTGGGATGGCAGAGGGAGGGAACAACGCTGTTCATCCGGTAGAGGTATGTATCCCACAATAGATCGCGGGGTTGACCATGGAGTAGAGGTTGTGGTAGAAGGAGATAACGATGTGTCACTACTACAGTATCTCTGTATCGCGGCATCTAAAGGCTGCAGGCACAGCTTAATTAAGTAACTGTATATGACAGTGATGCAAGATCTACTTACCGCAGCGTGGTCGGTGTTGCCGAGTGACGAGCTTTCGTTATCCTCCATAAATTGATGACGCAGGTAGCAAGGTGGACGTGGCGGCTGCGAAGGCAGAGTGAAGCTGTAAATGATTGTGATTGGCCTCCTTACGCTGGTCGACAAATCTTCGCAGGGTTTCGTGGGTTTTATCAACTGAATAATGGTATACTTAGAAATGTCTAGCCGGTCTTGGGTCAGTAAATGAATTATTTTACTGGAAATAGGGACTAACTGGTGCTGATCCGGAGACGCTCCCAGAAGTCAGGGATGATTTCACAGCCATAGAACCACCCACTCCCATGGACTGGAGAGGACAGGCATTTTAGTTGTCCCTGTCCGGTATAAAGCGAAGTGGAAGAGGTTTTGGTATAGACGGTAAAGGAAGATTGAAGTGCGAGTGCATACTGTGAAAGAAACTGCACGGAGATCGGGGAAAACGGAATAATGGGCTTTCCCAGCGTGATGGAACAACAGCGGGAGGACGGCTGTACGATTTGCGGTGATATAGCAGAGTTACCGATGAGCTGGATGATCGGAGATGAATACGACGGATGTGCCTGTAGATGAACTTGGACGTGAACACTGATAGAGTCCGCTTGGTCTTGAAGATAATCGTCGACCTTGAAAGTATACAGAGGGGAGCGGACAAATGGATCAGACTTGTCCGATGTGGGCGAACCGTCAGGTTTGGCCGGACTACCAAGAAGGTTTTTCACTGGAAAGTAGTTATCAGTAAAAGCTCGTGTACACCAAGTGAAAGCTCACACTTATCGCCTTTGCAAGTTTCGCGAAGTTGCTGAAGGCGGCTCCCTACTTGCTTGGGGGTTCTCATCTTGCCCGTCAACTCACATATATAATCCGAAATAAAGCGATTCCGCATTGGGAAGCGCCCGTTGAGTCGGTTAGCCTTGAGTCCTATGCTCTCTGGCTGATAACTTTCGAGGGCTGATGGGGCGTTAACCCCACTTTTTCGGCGAGAACAAAACGTTACTTGCCTTCGAGTAGAGCAGCTTCTCTGAGGGAAAGCGAGGTTAGAGGAGGTTCAACGACGTCCACCTGGTACAACTTACAGAAAGGGCGGCCAAACTGCTTCACCTCTCCCTTTCAATGTTTTCCACGACCTGCGACCAGTATCAACCAGATGTCCGTCGTCTCGAAATTTTTCCTTCGCCGAAGGGGTATAAGACAGATCTGCGATGGTAGTCGACGTGCAGAGAAAGTCCTCAGAAGAAAGATTTGATTTACTGCAGTCAAATTTTGCCATAGTAAATGTGGAGTTCAAAACCCAGGAACACGGTCAGAAAGTCCATGTTAAGAGGATGTCACAGCATATTTAAACGAGCTGAAGAATCGCATCTTGGATCGCTCGAAGGCTCGGATTAATTGGGGCCCAAAGGACCGATCCTAGAGTGAGATCCTTTGGGAGCCCGCCAGATTACTGGTAGAGACAACAGTCCGATCAACTGCTTGTTAGTTTACGATATTAGATTCAGTGAGATTGGGGTACCCTTGGACTGTAATTGAGATATTGGGCAGAAGCAAACCAAATAACGGCCGAATAACTTTAGGCGTGAAAAATGACATTCGCCCCATAGTTGAGTGGCTTGAGTTCCGGGGCCCGGGCTCATTTGCAGTCGTAGAACTTCGCATGTCGTGGTTGTGCAAATGGTGATTCACCTCTACCAAATGTTTGTCCCACTGCACTGCCAAATAAGGAATTGAATCAAAATTTGCACTGCAACTGCCATGACGGAGGACCCCGAGACTACCTCAGGCTCAGAGGTCAAAGTTACCTGAACCAGGCTCAGACTCCTACAGCGCCATCGCTAGCTTAGCGTTTTGCAGAAGCTCGAGAATGGCGCGTGAATACCCAGTAGATGCACGATTAGATCGAAGTCCATTATGGAAAAGGTCCAGAAATGACGGCTGCGTGGTTAAAGGCACATTGGAGATTGGTTCCACAAACTCATATCTTATAGTTGCGTGACTTTGCAGATCGTTTCAGCTGAGCTGAAGCTGTTACTGGAAGGCGAGAGTCAAGCAATCTGCACAAGGAATTAAGCGAAGAGGCGCCAATCGTGTACTAAAAAGCTACACTGATGACTCCTTAATTACATCAATCAAGAAACGGCACCTTTCTATGTTTATTTCGTGCGGGATGCCGTGGCTACTGTCATTCGGAGAACGCCGTCTGTCTTTTTCAATAAATTGGTTGTTAGAAATTTCAGTTATACTGTGAAGGCTAGATCTTACGATACTTACGAATATGGGTCTAGATCTCGGGCTTTTCAAACTAATAAGGCAATATCAAACCGTGACCGCTTAGGCGCTTGTCAGTCTGTATGCGCCAGTACAATTCAGAAGAAATGCGTTTTGGGAAGTGGCCGAAATCCAGGGTACGGCCTAAAGTCAACTTCCTCAAAAGACATCCCATAGTGTACCTATAGAGGGAAGGTTGGGCGTCGTGGCTCGTCATCACCGAAATTATGAAATGACTAACACCAATAAAGCGAATGTGAAGGTCCAATCTTCAACCAGCTCGATACGACCCAGCCATTATCTCGGTCATACTCCAAACCAACGCCAAACTTCCGGAATGTGTTCATAAGGTAGGTATTGCGCCTGCAACAAGAATCGTGACCCGCCATACCGCTTTTAGGCTCTTTCCCCAAGTTGCAGGAAGCGAGGCTAGTGCGAATAGAAACGCAGTGTTTGCAACCCCATAAAAACATTCTGATAGTCTGTTTTGCACAGCGTCAACGAGTCCCCATGATAGCTTGGCCGTGCATTTACGACTCTGTCAAAAATGGTGCCTTTCGGTCTTGGGATTCACCATGCGCCGCCAGCAAGGTAGAACACACACCTTAAGCCCGAGTTTTTTTTAGACCAGCAAGTAAATATTTTTATGACTCAGACATATTGTGCTCAAGATTTGTCTCTCAGAACAACATGCGTCCACTCTAAACAGAAGACAGAGTGCTATTTGGGGAAAGAGCCAAACCGTGCGGTTACTGAGAAAGATCGGAC